GTGGGCGGCGGGGGGCGGAGGCAGCCGGTGTCCTTTGTCGCGTTCGTGGTGTTTTAGCGGTTCCTCGGTAAAGCGAAGCCCTGCTTTGTAGCGCCAGGCTACGTCCTGAAAACTAAAAAAAACCCAAACGTGTGGGAAAGCGAGGACAGGTGTTGCATTATTCCAGGGGCATTCATTAAAGTCGAGGGGGAACGGGACTTGGTGCGAGGGATTGCTCTGTGTAGCGTTGGAATGGGTAAACTGAGACTTTGCTGCCTACCCAAGGATCTTAACAGCTGGTTATAAACCAGATTCGGTCTTAATATTTTTTGTCTTGAACTTGGAAGAAAAATGGTGTCGGTGTCGAAAAGATGTGCTGTAGCTTCAAAGTGTTTTCAGGTAATCAACAAAAAAAGAATCATCTGTCTGTGTGCTAGCTTTAAACTAGTGATTATCTGCTCATTAAATTATTTATTAGTGAAACAATTGCTGCCAAAGCGATGAAGTCATAGTGATACTGCGTGATATCACTTACTATAGCTATACTACATAGTATAGCAGGGTCTGTGGGTTTGGGGTTTTGTTCTGTTTGTTGGGGTTTTGTTTGGTTGTTTGGGTTTTTTTGTAATAGAATTGTAAAAAAAGCAATGTTTCCTATGGTCTTGAATATATAACACACTCATGGATTCTTCCTCAACAAATTCATAATAAAGATAAGGGACAGGCCTGATAAAAGCTGCTATCTTGTGACTTGAAACGAATGCTGTTGCATCTGGTTTAATTAGTTCAGCACTCTGGACAAGTCAAGCATTTAATCAGAAAAGGGAAGGTAATCACCAGTAGCAGGTGTGAATATCTCTTTTAAGCATCTCAGTCCATCACATTTAATTTTGGGAGGCAATGTAGGATTAATTCAATTTCACTGGCATGAACCATTTTTGAAAATACACAATGAAAAGTGTAGCCAAGAGGGAGATGGCACTGAAGTGAGCACTGCAGTAATTAAAAATTATTAATTTAGCTCCAAAGATCTTCCTTTAAATATTTTCTTGATAGCAGCAAAGCAGCAGATACCTTTGATACTATACTCCTCTGTCTATGGTGAATTTCCGCTTAAATTATCTTCTTATATATGGTTAATGCCACTCTCTGAAACACGTCACAAGTTTTAGTAGTATTCATTAGGTATTAAAAATGCAGTTTTTTCTGCTACAAAACTTTCCTCCCTTATCTTTTCTCACATCAGGATGCTAATATACATTGGTCTGGGACATTATTTGAAGTAACTGTTTCTGTTTAGATCACCTTAACTAGATCAAAGAGGAAGGTATGAAATTGTGTGGTGCTAATATTCAGCAAATGTGATTTTGATCCCAGCAAACTGCTGCATCCTGCAGTGATTCTTTCCTTGCCAAAAATCATTCCACACTTTTTAACAGGCTTTATGATGTCTGAAGCTGGATTTTAAAAGGAGTCGTGAAGTTAGCAAAGTATAGTTGCCTTGGTCTAATTTTTTTGAGTTAAATTGCAGATCGTATGCAAGTTTTCCAAGGTTGAGAGATGCTGTTTCACTCTATTCTTTCTTTCCCGTAACCATTGGACGCATTCCATACCATGGACACATTTAATCACTAATTTGGTTTGTTCTCCTTTTAAACTCACCCTTTGCTTCTTTCAAATCCAGACCCTGCCGTTCATCATTAGATCCACCACTTTGCATTCTACCAGCAATCTGATCTATACCCTCCCCACAAAACCATTCCTTTTCCATAGTCTTCCTACAAATTGAATTTATCCCCCAGCCATAGTGAACAGAGCATTGTAAATATAATTTTGTTTTGTGCAACTCATGAACGGACAAAAGATTTTGCTGAGTCCAGCAGAGTTTGGTCTTCAGCAGGCACTTTTTCTTTTTACTCTCTGAGGGATGTTCTCAATTTCTCTCCTCACGGGCCTTTCTCTGTCCCAAGGAGGCAGCAGTCTGGTGTCTCTCCTCCTTGTCCTGACAGCATTCTCTTCCCTTCCATTGGGGTAGCAGGGCTGAGTGGCTCAAGCAGGTGCTTTGCCTGACAGATGTTTAGCAAGCAAAGCAGAGAGTGTTTCTGGGACTGTTCCTTTTTGTGCACAATTTAAGTCTATGCCAGGCAGAGCACAAGCCAGTGATGTGGAAGCAGCATTACCTCTCTAATTTATCTCCCAGTTTTTGCTGTAGTGCCCATTGCTGCAGTATCAAAACTCAGTTACTACTTTGCTGGCCAAAACTGCTGAAGAATATTGCCAATAGAAGGTAATAGCATGTTCACACCCTCTGCTGACCCCAGCTCAAGCTAATGCTAATAAGAGTATGACAAGAAGATTTCTTTCTACACGCTTGATATTTGTTACGCTAGAGATAAGAATTTGAAGCTATAACTAAATTGGAGTAAGGTCCAGACTAAGAGTTTATAATGTTCACACTGAATCATTGTTAAAGAAGTTGAAGGGGATAAATATCAAAATTATTCTGAGAGTCACTTCAGTAGTAAAAAATTGGAAAGTCAATAGCCTACACGAGCTGTTCCCTGCACTGCAGGAACATCAGCATTGGAAGAAAATCCAACCTAGAACTACTGACAGCAACATTTCCTCTGCTCTTAATTTAACCGCTCTTCTTGTATGTGGTTGGCCTTTGGTCCAAGCCCTGCCACAGAGGCTGTCAGGGAAGAAGGCTGAGCCAGCCCCTCTGTCTGTGCTGTGGACAGGGCTCCTGAGGGAACAGTCTGGCACTGGGCTTTGGCTGGTAGGTACATTAAAAACAGATCCAAAAAGCTGCATGGCAACTGCTACAAACAGCAGTAAACAAAGACTCAAAAAATCTTGGGAGCCAACAAGACCGAAATAGCAGAAGGGAGCTAATAGTAGGAACCCTTTGCAGCTGTAGCCTTTTTCATCCGAAGACATTATGCTGCTCTACAAATATTACTTAGGCCTTACGATATGCTGGTGAATTATATGCACGCAATTATACACATTTTGATAGCTACAGCAAAGATTTTTATTGGTGTGACTAAGGAAGCCCAGCAGCTAGAGCAGAAAACCAATTTAGACCTGATTTCTACCCATCTTCTCTAAGCATGTGGCAATCTTTGAGAACAACGTCTTGCGTGTGTGTCGTGTGTGTCCGAAACCAGGACAGTGTGCCGGTCTCTGCTCCAGAAAGGGCCTTTCTGTGCTCCTGCCTGTAAGTCATGTCTCCTAAGGGTGGACTTTATAGCTAACTACATGTGGTTATGAGAGTTTCCAAACTGGAGTATGAAAAAGAAGAGATAGGATTGGATATTTGCCTCTGATTTGAGATGCAGGTGGTAAAGATCAATGAATGTGAGGACTGAAGGGTATCACATATGTAAATGCCTCCTGGCACATGTAAATTTCAAAGCCAAAATGTAGTTCAGTTCAAAAAATGACCCTATAAATAATGACATCCTTTTCTGTTTTATCTCACTGAATCCACATCCGATTTACTCCAATTACAAATAAGAGCATGCTTTTCCTAAGACATTTTCTGGCAAACTCAGTCTGGGCAATCAAACTCGTATCTTTCTTTTTTGCACATCATTATTTATAACCAAAACTCTGGAGGGCAGGTTGGACCCTTAGTTTATCTCCATGGAATCTGATTAACCTTTGCCAATACAGGTGTTGTTACTTTGAGAAAAATGTGGAAGCTTGGCTCCTCACGCACTTTTCATAAAAGCATTCAGTGGTTTCAGAAACACTTGGCTGAGGAGCGTCTGTCCCATTGGCTTTCAGAAGGTTTGTCTTCCTATGTGCCTATAGAGTATGTCTGCGTTGCAGCTGCAGTTCTGTAACAGTGGATATGAGCACACATACCCAAGCCACCTTTAGTCTAGCTGTCTTAACTATCATCAAACCATAGAATCATAGAATAATTCAGGTGGGAAGGTACCTCAGGGAGTTGCTAGTCCAACCTCCTGCTCAAAACAGGGTTAACTATGAGGTCAGACCAGGTTGCTCAGGGCTTTTTCTGGTTGAATCTTGAAAACCTCCAGGGATGGAGACAACACAGCCTCTTTGGGCAATCTGTTCCAATGCTTGACTGTCTTCATGTTGAATTTTTTTCTCCTTGTACCCAGTCTGAAACAATTCTTGTATTTCAGTTTATGTCCACTGTCTTTTGTTCTCCTGCTGTGCACCACTATGAAAAGCCTCAGTCTGTCCACTTGACAATCACCTCATAGGCACTGGAAGACTTCTACTAGCCCTGCCAAAAGCCATCTCATCTCCAGGCTGAGCAAGCCCTCTTCCCTCAGCCTCTTCTCATATGGCGAGTGCGCCAGTGCCCGACCTTCTTTGGGGTCCTCTGTTGAATTCACTACAGTTAATTGATATATTTCCTGTACTGGGGGCCCAAACCTGGGTGTAATATTATATGTGGTCTAAAAAATGCTGAATAGAGGGACGTAGTTACTCCTCTGATCTACTAATGATGCTCCTGTTACTACAGCCCAGGATGGTGTTGCCAGGGCACGCTGCTGGTTCATGTTCAGCTCATTGCCCACCAACACCCCCAGGTCCTTTTCAGCAGAGCTGCTCCCCAGCCTGGCAGTCCCTTCCCTGTATCATTGCAAGGTGTTGTTCCTTTGCTCAGGACTTTGCAGCTGTCTGTTGGATTCTGTAAGGTTTCTGCTGGCCCATTTTTCTAGCCTGCCTAGATGGCTGTGAATGGCAATACCCTCCAGGGTACTGAGTGGCCCCCCCCAGTTTTGTGTCATCTGCCAGCTTGATGAGCAGGCATGCTACCATTTTCTCTAGGCCATTGATGAATACATTAAATGGGACAAGTCCCAAGACAGACTCCCATCATACTCCACTTGTTACTGGCCTCCAGGTAGAGTACAGAGTTAATGGATATTAGCTCCCTCTGAACCCAATAATCCAGCTAATTTTTTAACCATCTGCTTGTCCACCTGTCCAGGCCGTGACATTCCAGCTGGGTTATGAGAATGTTGTGGGATACCATGTTAAAAACCTTGCTAGATTTAAGGTAAAAGACATCCACTGCTCCACAAGGCCAGTCGTTATGTCAGAGCAGGCAGCTGGGTTGGTCAGACGTGATTTGGCTCTGGTAAATCCATGCTGACTGTTGCCAATCACTTTTTCCTTATGTGCCCAGAAATGTCTTACAAGAGGATTTGCTCCACATTTTTGGTCCCAGCCTCCCAGGAACCAAAGTGAAGTTGGTTGGCTTGTAATTCCCCAAATCATCATATTTGCCTTTCTTCAGTTATTGGGGATTCCCCAATCTCCATGACTTTTCGAAGATTATAGTGCGGTGAGGACATCAGATGTTATTTAAAATCTGGTAGATATGTTGAAGGAATAATTTCTGGTTTTGGGACGAGCAGCTGATTTGTGGAGTTACAAGTCTGAAGTCTGCTTTCCCCTCTTGGCCATGTGAACTGGCTTCATTGAAAGAACTGCCTTTAATCCCATATGCTTGGTGAAGAACTGATTGATAATGAAGAACCTCTCCGTTTCCATGTCCCCAGTGACCCTCCATGGATTAGCAGGGAATTGCTGGAGGCAGGCAGCTGGGGCACAGGCTGGAGGGATGTCTGGAGAGTCTTATGAATTATTTCTTGAGCTTCAGCAGGAAGACTTTGTGCATGCAGGTGAAAGAGACTTGCGTAAGCTCAATAGATTATATTTGTCTTCAGTAAAGTTGCTTGCATTTCATACTAAAAGACTGGACTCATTTTGGCTGGTTGTTCTACTGGAGAAAGGTTGGCAAACATGCATATTTTTATTATAAATGCACTTATTTATTAATTGAAATTATTTGACTTGGTTTGCAAACGTCACTAATCTAGCCTGGCTTTTGAACTTGTAAACGTTTAACTGAGTTACCTGACTTTAAATTGGCCACGTAACTCAAGTGACTCATTGCACATGGCTTCTGCTCACTTTTTGACTTTCCTGCATTTCCCCTGCTTTTGCTTACAGCAGCACCCTCAGAGCCTGATCCACACAAGGCTGCCTTCCCTTCTCACCGAGCCCTCCCTGGCGAGGGCTGTTGCCTCCGGTATTCAGTGCAACACCACAGCCTCTGCCTCATCCCGAGACTGCACACGCAGGCAGCTTCGTGAGGCCGCAGCGGGCAGAGACATGAGCCCTGTGCCCTGGATGGGTTGTGCTCTGGCTGGAGCTCCGTGCCGCCCGGTTGCAGCCTAGGATAGCACAGCATCGCATGGCCCAGTGCTCCGGGGGTGATCCTGCCCACTCTTGCCTTGCCTTTCAAAGCAAAAATGCCAGAAAGGGGGACCACAGTTCGATTCATTTGGGTGCCTTTTGTTAGCTAGGGTGATGCATTGATTGCTGGTTTTAAATAAGCCTTACGTAAATCTGTGCTATGGGCTGGGGCTCTGGTGTTAGTAACCTGTGGTTGCAGCTCAGATATGCAACCACAACAAGGTAAAGTGGCTTGAAGCAGGCTGAAAGCGGTAGGTGAGCCTGCTGTTTTTCACGTTTGGGTATCTGAATCCAAATCCCAGTGAGACTGAATGTATTTTACTGAGCAGCTACTGTTTAAAAAGGTAGGCCCATGTATCGTTACCTAATCAACTATATTACATCTTTGCTTCAGAGGTACAGATTGGTTTGCTTGCCCTAGTAAATATGAAGAGCACATTCATTTTCATGACAGCATGCAGAGCTTCTGCTAATCTTGTCTAAAATAGAAATTTTAAATGTTCTGTCCAGGTAAGTCAAACTGGCACTTCACACAGGTAAGCGATTAAGGCCTGCAGGATCTGACTTAAGGATGTGAGCGATACTTAATTATAAATGTTACTGAAGACAAGGCATAATTATCATTGTCACTAACTTTCAGTTCAGCTTAATAAAAACTCATCTCTTGCACGTACCCAATGTGTGTGCATTACGCTATGCTAAGCTCTAGCTAACTCTGTGGTTTTTAATTCCCTCTGTTGTCTGCCAGCTCTTTTCCTTAGAGAGAGAACAACAATGGGTTAACAACAACAAAGATTAACAAAAGAAAATCTTCCATAATTTTATATTTGTTCTACCATGATTGCAATTAAGAGCTTCCTTTTTTTCTTCTCCCTACTCCCTACAGGACAATTTGCAAAAAGGAAGAAGACTTCGCTTTGGTTCACAGTCTCTCTGCTGGTAGTGTCTGTTTTCATACTGACCATAGGTCTGGCAGCTACCACAAGAACAGAAAATGTTACCGTGGGAGGCTACTACCCAGGCATCGTTGTGAGTAAAGAAACCTATTTTAGATTATTGGGTACAACCAGAAAAATGATTATCAGCTGGATACGGGAAGCTTTGATTGATTAAAACAACAACAAAAAAAGAAAGTTCAGTCCTATTGCATTTTACAGGAGACAGATACTCCTTTGTTTTGTTCTAGTTCTAGTGTGTGATAAGGTAGGGGGGTAAACTCTGTTTTTCTGAAGTGCCCCAAAGGGGAGGCTGTTGGGGGCACAAGGGGTCCCTGCACAGCAGTTTGCTGGGCTCAGGGGCCCCTGTGAGAACCTGTGCTTGACTTCCCACTGATCTCTCTTAAATGTGGACATGTAAGTGACTGGACAGTAGGCATGGGATAGCTTTAAATGACCTTTTAGAGGTTTACTACTTTGACAGCACAAAGAGCCACTCTGCTCTCGTGTCCCTGTGCCAGGAGTTCTGCTGGGTCCATTGCAGGGAAAGCCCTGTGGATGGGCGAAGCTTCTCCCTGGAGCCTGCCTAACATCCCCTTGTGCGGTCTTGTTGCCGGTCCTCTTGTACGAGATCCCCTTCCGAGATCCTTAGTCTTGTTTTTGCCTTGGGAACAGACCGCTTAAACACGTTCCTGCACTGGGCACAAGGTTTGAGTTGTGTCACCTTCGCCCCGGGGTGCCTCTGTGACTTCTGGGGAAGGGTAGCCCAGCCAGACCCTTGCCGGTTCAACCCCCGTGGCCCTTTCTGGTCTCAGAAGAAGAAGAGATCAGTCATATCCAAAAGCGTGGAAACCCCTGGAGTAAAAAAATTTTTTTAAATACCTGGGCTGAGATTTAAAAAAGAGGAGTATGGGCAGTAAGTAGGGGAAAGCCTGTCTGCCTCGTTTTGTTCTCCCCGAACCAGACAAGAGGAGGCAGAGGGTGCAAGGTGAAGAAAGAAACTCATGTACTTAGAGTTAGGCACCTCCTTAGGTATGGCTCCACCACTACCGAAATGTGTTGTAAGGTACCGTTATTTCTTGTTCTCTATGGAATGAAATGCCCAGAGAAGAGAGATATGTATCTTTTAATACTGTGCATACATTTTGCATTGCCATTAATAATTTGTGAGTTAGAACTGTTCCTCCTAAGCAAGTCCTCTTACATCTTAGTGTCATGCTGAGAACAGGTCTTTCAGAAAGATAATATGGGGATAATGATCTGTAAGGAGTGGTGTTTTAAAAATAGAACAAAAAGTAGTTCCAGGAATAAAATGTTAAAAGAATGAATTTTCCTTTCCTTAAGCTAAAATGGTACATTAATACTGGTAAAGGTCTCTTCTTCTTCCATAATTTGAATTAAAATCTTTTAGAAGACCATATTATCTGCATTCATTCCCTAGAAAGAAGTTTCATTTTTAAACTGTTGTCTTTAATAAGTGTAATATGTGATAAACCCATGTGCATGAAACAGGTTATTTCAGCATTTAGTTTCTTTTAGGAATAACACAATGTCTATTCACTCAGCTGAAAAATATGATCTACTAAAATATTTTCTTTTAAATCTCGGGGTCATTAATAACCAGATAGAATAGCTAGACTTTATCACAACACTTTGAAAACAAAACCTTTATTAATAATTTTCCCCCTCAAAAGATTGTTAGAGCTAAAGAATGTTAATAAAATTCAGAATTCTTTTTGTGCACATGTGATGATGGATTATTGAAGTAACTGAGAAGAAAGAGTGACGGGTAATTGTCAGTGTAAACTTCATTAGTACACTAAATAGCCCAAACGTTTAGCAAGAGTTAAAGGTGCTACACAAACCTTGCATGATATCTTGCCAAAAGCCTAGTCAGAGGTGTATGACAGCATTGCCGTGTTCCTGCTCCATTGCCATTGCCAGGGGTTATTGTCTCCAGTGCAGCGTTGGCAGATGGACTATGGGATGGCCTCTCCTCCACCTCTGCGAGAAGTCAGCCACCTCTTTCAGAATGAGCTGAATAACCCTCAAAAGGTGCGTCTCTTCTCCGCTGACAGTAGAGGGAGCTTAGAAAACCAACACAGCACTGATCCCAAACTTTTAGATACCTAAAGGTAGGAGAGGGAAGTCAACACTACATATTTAACTGTTGGACTTGAAGAAAAGAAAGATTATGAGGACAGAGAGTGTTAATTACAATTAAAAATAAGGTCTAGTTCTCATAGAATTCAGCTGTAAAATACTAACTTCGGAGCTTGTAGGTGAGATCTAAATCTCCGCTGACCTTAGGTAAGGGATTTTGGTCTTAAAAGCCATGCAGAATTAGAGCCTACCTTGCAAACACCTACAAATGTGAATAAGACTATCCACTTGCATAGATTTACTTGCATCTAGAAGCATTTGCAGAGCAGGTCTTCAGGGCTAGATCCATAATGTATTTTGTGCTTCTGCTTGGTTCCCACTGGCTTCAAGAGAATTTCTCTGCATATGTGGTCACTTGTCATTCATTTTGGAAAAAGCTTTTTTCTAAATACATCTTTAGTATTAGCTAGGTATCATCTGCATTTATGCATCCAAAGTAATTGAACATAAAATATTTCTGTGTGTAGATGAGTTAGTATAGTGTTCCCCTTTGGAAGGTGTCTGCATTTAGTAGATTACTCCTTTATCATCGGTTTGGGTTTAGGGCTGTCTTTGTGGAATGGGCTGCAAAGCCAGAATTGGAGCTTTTTCAGCATCGCTTCCTTATAAATATTGTTTATACTTAAATATTTAATGTCACTTCTCTAGGACTACTGCTTGTATTATTTTCATTTGCTATTTTTATAATCTTTCAACCAGGAGTCTACAGGGTCCAATTGTCCCCATCACCATACTGACCTGGACTCCCAGAGTTCCTAACCCAAACAGCCTATTGTCTAAACAGACAAAAAAAGCAGCGCGTATGGCCCTAAACCAATCTCAGCAATGCCATGCTTACATCGTGATCTCTATCTTTGGTTCTGCTCCTTCTGATTTAATTGCTGTTGTTCATGTTTGCTCCTTTTTTCTTCACGTGGATAATATTACTCCGCTCTGTGTCCCCTGCATCAGCCATAAATGGGGCTTTATAGATTGTTCCCGTTGGGATGAAAAATGGGGCTTGGAACCAGTTGTCATTTTGATGCAGTTATCTTAATTTACAAAGTTGCTGTCCCCTGAACAGAATGTCCTTGCTCACAGTTCCAAGTCTCTCTCCTATTCGGCTGTCAGCATGGATGCACTTGCACGCTCTTTCTTTTTCAAAGTCTCTGCTTTTAGTTCTTGTGCCTCCCTTTCACATAAATCTTCCCAAAGCACTCTACAGCAAATCTCCTTTCCCTGCATTTGCTTTCCTGAGAGGGAGTGACAGATTCCTGTTGTGATACTAAGTGAGTAAAGTGCTTGCAGGAGATTTGCTTTCTGCTGTGAGCGGTTGTGCATAACAGCAAGGAGTTCACGGGCGTTGCTCAAGCCCTTGACTGGGACGTGTAGTCCTTAAAAACTTAACTTGTGCTTGGAGGAGAGGATTCAGAGACCTTGTTCCAGAAAGGGGCTTGGATTCCTTAGCAGTAATGTCATGTCCCATCCATGGGGTGGGTTGGCTGGGAGGTGAGGGGGGGACTGGGGCTGTGCCTGGGCAGGGTCAGCCCTAGTGAAGAGGGGAGCAAGGAGCGTGGAAGTGATGGGGGATTGAGACTGAGGTGCCCACAGGGCAGCATGTGGCCAGGTAAGGCGAGGAGGGAGCTGACACCTGCGCTCCAGCTCCAGCTGCTTCTGAGACTGTGACCAGCTACATCTCAGCTGTGTGGCACCAAGGAGACCCTTTTCTCCAAACCCATGTGACCAGTGGGAGTCCTGATGCCAGGAAGGGCTGATCCAAGGCTGGTCTCACCTGTTGCCACTTTACCTTGTGTTAACCACAAATCCAAGGAGTTTCTACCTCTCCAAACCTTCATGGGCCCATCGTAAGGAGGGGGCTTTTCCTGCCAGCCTGGTGTTGAAGCAGCACTGGTAGGAACAGTAAGGCCAGCTTACTCCAGCGTTCCTTTCTTCCCTCTCTCCTGGGGCTGTTGGTGCTGCAGCTGTCCCATGTTGAAACTAACTGTACTGGTCCTTCTGGCATTTTAGCAAGGACTTTTTCTGGGATGTGTGGTAGTGTTCAGTCATTAAAATCAAACAAACCCAACCCTAAGGGTTTGAACTTGAGTCGCTTGCCTGGCAGCAACACATCCATTTTTTGAGGAAAACTCTTTGTCTGTCATTGCCTAAAGCTTTGCAATTTTCCAAAATAATGATGTATGGGCTAAATGTAAGTGTTCTTTTCTCCTACTTTGTGTAATTTTCACTTTATAGTGTGTAAAGCTATACATGACTGTGGTAACAGTAGCCAAGTTATAGAAGCATATGTCTATACAGGCTTCTCCTTACTACATGACAACTTGTGCTCTGAAATATCGAAGAGCTGCAGTTCTGGTCATTCCTCTTTACATTACATAATTTATGTCCAGCAGTAATTTCCACCCTTTCCCCTGACCCACCCCAGTTAGCCCATCTGTATGATATATCAGCTCAGATATCACTGTAATGCATTGGTATGTTGACCAAATAAGCTGACCTCATGCATTTCTTTTGGTTTTGTTCTTTGCCTTAGCTTGGCTTTGGATCTTTCCTAGGGATTGTTGGCATCCACCTGGTAGAGAACAGAAGACAAATGGTAAGTAACAGCCCTTTATGTTTTCATTTTTTCGTATCAGAATGTCTTAAAACCATGAAAAGCAGGGATTTCCAGTTGACTTAAAACTGCTGCGTCTCCCTCAAAGTGTTAGTCATTAGTTTCACCATTTCTGAGAAGTTTCAGAGAAGCATGAATTGGGCAGTGACTCCTTCTGTACAAGGGAAGGAATGGTTTGACTTCTGACAGAAGCAGCCTGCTTTTTTTACTGCTTTTTTATACTTTTTTTTACTGAATTACTTTCCTGCTGGTTTAGTGAGTTGAATCAACCCAGGGCAGGATCAGGTGAGTGCCAGAGCTTGGCCAGGACCATGTAGCTGGGAAAAGGATGGGGAGAGAGACAAAATGCATGGGTTTGCCAGTTTGGGCAGCAATGAGCCACACGATCAGCTCAACTGGAACAGGTGATTGCATCTTGTGCTAGAAGTTTAAGTCAGGAACACTTTCTTGAAACTGTATGCGTTAAAAAGAAGAAAAAAACCCCAGAGGTCTTGCTATCAAGATTCCCTGGCTAGGTCAGACAGGATCTGACGACACTGTGTGGTTTGGTTTTGGATTTAGCTTGGCTTTGCAAACCCCTTGCTTTTATTTTTCTGAGGAAGTCATAGAAAGTCCTTGGGGCATCTGGGTAAAGGAAGGTGTGCGGGACTGGATTTGTGGAAAGTCTTACACTTTCCTGGCTCTCAGCAAAAAATAGCAGTGTCCTGGTTGAATAACAGCATGTCCAATGTGCACTTTACAGTAGACTGATTATAGCCAAGCATCATGAAATACGATTCATTTCATAATGCAGAGCCTTCACTGGCATAAATCAAGAGTGTTGTTAAGCTCAGAGGAGGAAATGGTGGATTTGCCTTGCTTTTTACTAACAAGCAACTACTTTACTTGCAAGTAGTCTGTCATGATTTCCTGTTTTCTTCTTCGTAAATGCAGTCTTGTTCTCACTATTTGTAGGCAAACTTCTTTCATAGTATCACTTTTTTTGCATTGCTTTTAAGTTTCAGTGATGTATTTGCAAGTATTCCCCTGCTTTTAACTTCTGTTTCTAGCTGGGTTTCCCACAGGAATGAATTTATAAAGCCATGATGTTTGTCCGTGTCTTTCTCTGTTTCCCATTCCATTTTTTGAACATGTTGACCAATTTCAGGTGAATTCAGCAGGGAGGTAGAGACTTCAAAGGTGTGCAATTCCTTCAAGTTTCATGAAAGTTCACAGGTGGGTAGAGGAGAGAATTAGGAATTAGTTCCCCCATGGTGGTAAAGGCTGCAATGTCAGCTCACCTCTTACTAAACACTAGAGAATCCAAATGGGACATGACCTGTTGAGGCAAAAATCTGCAGCAGGCCAGGCCTCATTAGTTTTGCTACTAACAAAACAGCTTATTTGTTTTTAAGAACTATTGCCCCTGATTTCTACATCAGAGACCTGGATGAACAGCAGGTTTCAAGTTGCAGACTCAGTGGTGGGCAGATGAAAATAGCTTTGTCTTCCACAGCATTCATGCTACTTTACTAACAGGCATAACATTTTGGGGTTGTTTTATCTTTCCGTTTTCCTCTAATCTGCCTCTTAGTTTTCTATCGCTTCTGTCCTTAGCAGAAAGTAAAATGGCTGAAAAAGACGTAAGGTGGGTAAGCAGCAGTTAAACCACATAATACTCAACGTGTTGTGTCATTTACACAAGGACTGTGGAGAAATAAGTGTCCAGTATGTTTGGTATTAGTGCCTGCTTGCGCTTCCCAGCATGGAACAAGGAAAACTACTTTTTGCTAATAATACTTCGTGATGATCTGGCTGTTGGAAGATTGGGTTTCTGGGGAACAGACCAAGAAAATAACTAGAAATTTAATTATGCTTCTTGCCTTCAGTACCATCCACAGCAGGCTTAGCCTTGTAACACTGTCTTTGCTAAGGCCGAGCTGCTTGTTTTCAGATAGTATGGAAATGAGATTGAAAGGGTTTATGTCATACTACAACTGACGGCAGTAATTATTCCTTGGGATGTAACTGAGTATATTCGATTGAAAGGGTTTAGGGCAGCTTTAACAAATTTGCAGCCATCAATAAGATTATAAAGACTTATATAAGCACAGAAACGTAACAGAAATGTCGTATTCCTGTAACTAAAAATTCTATGCATTGCAGCAGGACAAAAGGGGTTGGGAAGGAAAAGAAATTGCTTCTATTTTAACTGGACTTCCTTTGAGCAGTTACGGCAATGTAATTTGAGTTTAACCCAGTATAGCCCTGACAATTGTCTGGCCCCTGTAATGACTCAGTACTTTGTTTTTGTTTTTTTTTTAAAGAAAGAATGTAGATTCAATTACACTAGAAAAAAATCTATTTTAAATTGACCTTTCCTCTGTAAATCTATTTCTCTTTTTGTCTTGAAGTTCTATTTCCTTGTGACCTATCCTCTGTAAGCCCAGATTTATTCCTGGTTGATGAAATGCTAAGTGCAATACGAAGTACGTAATGATTAGCAGAAGTAGTACAGCAAAATCCCATCACTCAATAAATGCGAGCATGGGGTTTGAGAAAGAACAAAAGCACAGTTAGGCAGAGTGGACAATGGTTTGTTCTTAAAACACAACATTAATAATCTTGCACTTCTTTGACCTCGTTCTTGGCATCCCAGGGCCTGCAGTGGGAGTTCAATGTGCTGACCAAGGTATAACCCTTAATTCAAAGGAACTGCTGCTTGCAGAAGCAAGCTTTGCCTCATTGACTAGCATGATTTCCCTTCAGCTCCCAGCATTCGTGCTTGGCTCTGCTATGCAGAACTTGGCACCAGCAGAACAAAATTTCCCTTTGACTAAAGATTTGCACTGATTTGGGATGTTTCTAACTGGCAAACAGCAGAAACGGAAGAATAATGTGTTGCTGTCCCTTTTTGCCTCTCTTGTCCCCTGCAAAGCAGGTTATGGATCGAAGAACAGAGTATAGCTGTAAGTTGTTTTGTTCTGAAGGCACATTTAGTCCAGCCAGATGGGTAGAAAGTGTGATACTGCTTGAATCAAATGTGTTTGATAGTAGGACATGAAGTGTCCTTGCTTGTTTGCTTGCTTTCAAACTCGTCTTATTACAGTACAAAGTATTTCCAATTAGAAAACAAGATGCTGAAATTGCACACAGAGGTGGGGAAGGCGGGGTGCACGGGGGGTTCATGGCAGCAGAGCTGAGCTGAGAGCAGTAAGTAGTGCTGAGGGAATGCTGTAAGAGGTTTCTCTTCAGATAAATGTGGAGGTGGCATGAGCTAGCACCCAGAACGAAGCGTTCTCTAAATGTGCAACGTTGATAAGACACCATATATGTAGTTTTAGCTAACCTGATGGATAAACCAAGCACTGGCTCACAGTTTCTGCTCACACATCTTTCCAATGCCAGTCTCATCAAGCCGTCCTGTTCACAAGGCTGAAAACGAGCATGCTGAAACTGTTGCGCCTACAAGAGCGATTGGGAGATGCAAGGGCATCAAAATAACTGTCAGGGTTTTGCACATTTGCAATATCACAATGCTGCATGCAAGAGCTCTCGGTAGGGTTGTGGGACTCACCTTGACAGCAGCGCAGCTATGGCAGAGAGCGGCGAAGGCAAAAGCGGGGTGGGAGGAGGTACAGGAGCGTAAAGGACATGGAGAGGACGTGGAGGGGTCAGAGAAGCAGGAGCGAGCCCTCGGGAGGTGTGAGTTGGCGCAAACCTCGGCACTGCTCACGATAAAGACCATTGTCTGCAGCAGGTCTGAGACCTGAATTCATCCTCTGCTGAGTCTTGCATGTTTTTTTCTCATGCTAACACACAGTTAATTTTCTTGCTGACATGTCTAGGACATACTCAGATATAAATCTAATGCTCAGCTGGCTCAATCTGGTCCTTGACTTGTTCAGAGAGAGGGTTGTAGTGATTTTAGCTGAGGAGACATTGCTTCTGACAAAAGCAGAATTTGAAAACATGAGGGAGGTTAAAACATGGAGCTCTGCACACAAACAGAAGAGGCAAAGCTATTTCTTCAGACTGCACAAGGAATGCTAAGTTTAGGTGCCTTAATACGGTTGCTTCCCAATCTCTGTCAACAATAGATTTCAAATTAAGTGCTGAAAAGCAACTATAGCAAAGTTGGAGAAACAAAGCAATAATTTCCTCTTCTGTTTTTAATTGATAGAGATCCCTGACAATGCATGCATTCCTATGCTGCATTGAGATGTATGTGAGGTAGTATTTCAATATTATCTCTGATTATTTTCTTGCCACTAGACTTTGCATCTGTTTCAGAAGAAAAGCTTTTTTTAAAGGAGTAACATGTGTAAGCCAGTTTTCAGAAGAGCCAAACCTCTTTCACTTTTCAAAAGTGATATATCTTGTAAATAGATTATGTCCATCAGAAAATGCCCACTGGACATTTTGTGTAAAGATGTGGTTATTAATATGTACACCAAAAAAAGATACTGATACATATACCTACTCTGCTCTTTTCAAACATATTGTGCTTCATCTACTTTTTCATGCAAATGGAACATCCTGGAAGAAACTGGCTTTAGTGCAGATTTTGATCAAAGATGCTAATTGCTGATAGATTGCATATTGCATATTAAGCTAATTAAAGCAGCTTGTTTACATAAAGAGAAAAACCATTGAAATTCTGTAGATCTCCTGAGACTGTCTTTGATGTTCCTGCACAAATAAATGGAAGAAGTCTTTACTGTAGTGCAGGGGAAATGCAGATAATGTAAAGGCAATCTTTGTCATTACCAAGGTATTATTTCTCCTGTAAACTCAAGCTTCTGAGAAAGTCAACAGCACTTCTTTTTTTTAGCGATTATTTTTTGTCTTGTTTGTATTTCACATAGTTCAGAGAAAAACAATTAATGCTGATGTAAAAATGATAATAATACAACAAATTAGCAATCATCCTTGTCTTGTTTAGCACCTTTAAAACAATTAAAACTGAAAAGACCTACTGCTATCTTTTCAGTCATGAATGC